TCTATCCACTAAAAAGTGAATTATATATATACCGCCTTAAACTACTTTCACGTAATTTTAAGCCACAATAGAATAGAATAGGAGAGTTGGAAGGGACCTTGGAGGTCTTCTAGTCCAACCCCCCTGCTTAGGCAGGAAACCTTACACCACTTCAGACAAATGGTTATCCAACATCTTCTTAAAAACTTCCAGTGTTGGAGCATTCATAACTTCTGGAGGCAATGATTAATTGTTTAATTAATTAATTGTTCTAATTGTCAGGAAATTTCTCCTTAGTTCTAAGTTGCTTCTCTCCTTGATTAGCTTCCACCCATTGCTTTTTGTTCTATCCTTGGGTGCTTTGGAGAACAGTTTGACTATCTAGATCTGTTGATTGGTTATGTCCGGTAAATGAATGTGTTGCAAACAGCAGTCAGAAAAGTAAACCTGGGTGTTGCCCCATTCACTTGCCACAGCAAAAACCAGAGCCATCGATTCCCCGAACAAGCTGGCCAGTGACATCGTTTGAACAAAATCCCAGGGAGATTTTTAGCTAGTGCTCCCCGTGGATTTCAGAACGTACATGGCTACCCATCTCCAGAATACACATGCTAAGCCAAAGGAAGTAGAACTGGCATGTATTCAATCTTTAATCAGACTGGTCCTTAACCCCCCTGAAAATGCACTTCTGTTACTTCTCATGGCTTTGGTTAGCTGAGACTTTCTCAATAGTGGTTTTGGCAAGATAAAGAAAGTCTCAGCAAAGTTAGCTTTGGCACATTTTGGGCAGTTTGCTATGTTGTTGTTGTTAGTTGTGAAGTCGTGTCCGACTCATCGCGACCCCATGGATAACGTTCTTCCAGGCCTTCCTGTCCTCTACCATCCCCTGGAGTCCATTTAAGCTCACATGGACTGCTTCGGTGACTCCATCCAGCCACCTCATTCTCTGTCCTCCCTTTTTTCTTTTGCCCTCAAACTTTCCCAGCATTAGGCTCTCATTTGTTTTAGCGTAGAGATAATAACATTACAAAAAACCCTCTCTTAATTTTAAGGGAATAATACCAATCTTTAAAATACATTCAACATTCTAAGAAATTTCACTCTTATATCTCCCTTCAAGATTTGCTGATGGGAGAATATCAAAACAAGTGAAGTTGAAAACTCTCCAATATTTTCAGAAAATGAACTAAGATATTACGTTGCTTATGAAATATGTACAAAGTGACTAACTACACATTTGTGGAAGTTTTGCTTAATCTTTCTACCTGCCCATTTCTTAGTCTCCATTCCAGGATGTATTTGGCATGGCCCTACCCCGTTCTTAAATCCTGGGGAAAGCCCCATTGCACACTATCTTCTGCCCCAACCTATCTTTCCAGGCTGCATGGAAGGAGCCCATCAATATCACTAGGGGCCAGGTCAGGAATTCTACTTAGCCAGACATTACATATTCTCACCCAGACTGGTAACAAACAGACTTGGAGATAAGATTGTATTAAGTACAACCTCCCACTTGATTTTCCTTACAAACCTGGATCGGATTGAACCGTGATGGCAAACCAATGGCATACGTGCCACAGGTGGCACACAGAGCCCTCTCTGTGGGTACTTGAGCTATCGCCCCAGCTTAGGTCCACCCTGCCTCCCACCGGCCAGCTGGTTTTTAGGTCTCTGCCACTCATGCATGGGGGAGGGGCGCATGCGGGTGAGTATGCATGCATGTGCAGGGGGTAAGGGAGTGCGGAGATTGGCATGCATGCATGGCACATGGGCGGTCGCATGTGCATGCATGGGGGTGGGGCACGCAGGGGCCACACGCACTGCATTATGGGTGCACACATGTCCATTCGGCACATGATAAAAAAAAGTTTAGCCATCACAGGGATAGACTCACTCGGCAGGAATGATGGAGCCCAAATTCCACTCCATAAAGAAGTTCAGACAGATATACTTTGTCAACCATGGCAACTTTAAAATATGTGAATGTCAACTCCTGGGATGGCTTCCAGAATGACTCGCTGGGGAATTCATGGCTGGCTGAGGAATACTGGCTGGGGAATTCATGGGTGGGGTATACTGAAAGTTGAAGTCCACATAACTTAATGTTGTTAAGTTTGGGAAACACTGATGTGGACTTTTTTTTTCTTGTGAAAACTTTCTGTTCCAAAGAAAGAATATTTTCTGTCTCCATCCAGTCTGGGAATTTCTAGCATAAATATTTTGTGTGCATCTTCATTATTGTACTAAGTAAATTAGTTATTGTAGGTGAAAATTTCCAGGGAAATTTTCCTTTCCCTTCCTGAAAATGGTACGATTATGGCCAAACCCCAGTCTTTGGTTATTCGGTCTATCTAAGTAAATAATCAGGCCAGGACTGGCACCAGGGGTGGGTTGCTGCTGGTTTTACTACCATTTGGCAACCCACGTGCAATGCCCATGCACCAAATGCATGTTGCACATGCGTGCACTGTTCAATGTAAAATGTTCTTTGAGCATGCGCAGAACAATTTACAGTGAACTGCTCATGTGCAGTCACTAAAAACCAAAATGGCAGCAGCCCCGCAGCAGTGAGGGAACCGGTTCGGGGGCATGGCAAGCCTGGGTCGCTGCCGTTTCTGTGACCCAGGCCTGCATTTCACTACCGGTTCGGCCGAACTGGGCCGAACCAGGAGGAACCCACCTCTGACTGGTACCTATCATTCCTGATTGTTGTTGTTTTTTATATACTCCAGAAGAAAAAAGTCAATTTTATGGTTTCTTTGTGGGTTTTCAGCACTTTTGTGACCCACACAGTGGTGGGTTTCAAATTTTATTAGAACCTCTTCTGTAGGTGTGGCCTGCTTTGTGGGAGTGGTTTGCCAGCCATGTGACCGGGTGGGAGTGGTCAACTTGTAAAATGTGGTGAAACTCACTTAACAACACTCTTGCTTAGCAACCAAAAT